CCTGATCTTTCCCATGATACGCAACAGGTTGGTGTTTTTTCCGATTTGTTGCAAGATATTTTCTCATTAACAAGGTCATTGTTAGAGATGACTGAGTTCAGCTTTACTTCTTTCTTGGTGTTAGATGGGAAAATGCAACATTCATTCACCTGCTTCAGAACTGGGAGATCCCACGAAATCAGCTTCAGCTAAAAGGAAGTTGGGAGATGGAAATTTCGGTGATGTGTGGTACGGTAAATGGCGAGGTATGGTAGAAGTGGCTATCAAAACAATGAAACCTGGAACGATGTCACCAGAAGCATTTCTAGGGTGATTATGTATAACTATGAATGATATACATAGTCGGCATTAATCAAATTTCGAAGTAAAATGTCCATGATTGCCATAAACGAATGATTTTAATTCCATCCTGAGGATTAGATCTCACGAGTCTGCAGAAGATAACCAATATCAAATGACATAAATTTATCAGATAACCAGTATTGCTTATAATTTGTGAATTTTTCTTGTTTTTGGGATGCGTTACATATAAAAAGGAAATTTGTCAATAATTTCAGCGAAGCTCAAATTATGAAGCAGTGTGACCATCCTAACCTTGTTAAATTATATGCTGTTTGCACTAAAGAAGAACCGTTTTACATTATAACTGAATATATGGTGAATGGAGCGTTGCTTCATTATTTGCGCAGCGAGGGTAGTAGTCTTACTTTACAAGCGCTTGTGGATATGTGTGCACAGGTTAGATTTTATGAAATGGTATTTATAATTATTCTTCTGGAACCTTTTCATGTTTCGTTATTCTTCACCGCTTTTTATTACTAGTACCAGTCTTCCTCTCTCCAACTGGTGCACTTTCGCATCAATTTTGCTAAACGTAATCAAACATAATGTTATATTATCTTTTAAGGTAGCAAATGGTATGATGTACTTGGAAGAGCGAAAATTAGTACATCGGGATCTTGCTGCGAGAAATGTGCTGGTTGGTGACAAGATTTCTGGAGTTCCCGTTGTTAAAGTATGCGAATTTTATCTTGTTTTTTGCTTCCTACATACATTTAATGAAATAATAATAATACATTAAGCGTTCTTTATTTTTTAGGTTGCTGATTTTGGGTTAGCACGAAAGCTAATGGAAGAAGACATATATGAAGCAAGAACAGGGGCAAAGTTCCCGATAAAATGGACTGCACCAGAGGCAGCAACTTGTGGTAATTTTACCGTGAAATCCGACGTTTGGTCATATGGAATTTTGTTGTACGAAATCATTACGAAGGGTCAAGTACCTTATCCAGGTATTTTAAAGCAAGAAAAAAAGCTTTTCAAATTTCAAGACGTGCTTTGTAAGATTTCTTACAGGTATTATGTTTAAGGGTTTTGTTCTTAGTTATTTATTTAATCAGGTAGGAGTATATGTGTTATGTTTTTTGAGCAACAGAATGGTGATTTGAGTCACATTAATGAATTCCCATTTTTCCAAAAATTTTTAGGAATGCATAATCGTGAAGTAATCGAGCAAGTGGAGTTAGGCTATCGTATGCCGATGCCACGTGGATGTCCAGAACAAATATACACTGAAGTCATGTTGAAGTGTTGGGATAAGGTACCACACTTCACTGTTTATTTAGATATTTTCATTGTGTTTTCCCAAAAATTGTTCCTTTAGTTTTTGAAAATCTGTGTTTAAGATTGCTTTTTTATTTATGATGCTCTGCTTTTTGCATCTGACAAGTTGGGAACCATGATTCCAGGTACCTGATCGAAGACCAACTTTCGATTATCTCTTCCACTTTTTTGACGATTATTTTGTGAGTTCGCAGCCGAGTTATGTACCACCGTCGCAAAATTAATCTACTAATGGCATCGATTTCACATTGATTGTTTGGTTCTTTCATTTCCTGTATTCAAAGCTTTAAATTATCGCTATCATTTTTGAAACAACGGTTTGGTTTGTTATAATTGATTTCTTTTTTCAAATTTTGCAATGGAAGGCATTATTTCTCAAGGAATCGATTAGATGTGTGTTTCGCAAGTGGTAAACAGCGGAGACTTTATTAGTTTTTGAACCATTTCGATAAAATACATCTCATACCTTCTTTATCACTGTTTGCGAAACGTATTCTAGTTTTTTTCGGCTTTTCTCTCTGTCTCTGTGCATATATATATATATATATATATATTTCCATACCTCACAGAATCTTACATGTTCAAGCCATCAAAGCTAATGTGTTGTATAATTCTCGTTTATTTTGTATTTCATACGTTGATTTTTTACATTGTTATGCTTTGTTTCTTTTGCAGCATTCTTAATTGAGAAACATTATGTCTTATCAGTTTCTTTTATTCAGTCTGCTAGGCAAGAAAATAATTCAATAAAAACTTTGAGATCATTTCTCTGTATTCTTTTAATCACCTTACTTTTACTTATTAATTGCATTTACGAGATAGTTTTTTCCAGTCCATGTTCTCAATTTGTTCTTTTTTATGCCACTTTTATTCACACTGAATATTTTTCATAATTCTTCCCTCAAGTTATTTAATTCATAAATAGGGCTGATCAGAGATGAGCTCATTCAGTCTTGTTTCTGTTATTAGCATCCGCCCAAAATTTGTATTTTTGATGTAAATTGTTGCATTATCAGTAGCTCTTATGTGGTGTTAATTGTCTTTGTATGCATTAATGTTCTTTTTTTTTTTGTTTGACGAGATATTCACATATTCAATAAAATCTCCATGCCTTGCAATCAGAAAAAAACGTGTATCATTTAATTACATGTTATATTTTATGTGCCACCAATTTTTAAAATGTTATCAGCTTTCGAAATTATTCGAAAGTTTGGGAAAAAGCGTAGAAACGTGCAGTATTCTGAATTTTTTCAGGTAGAATGGAGGGTACACCATTCGATCTCGATTTGGATAAGATATTGACAGACCCACATACAGACCTAATGTTATCAAGTGGCAGTTCTGCAGATATTTATAGTCCATTCTTGTTGGATGATAATCCTAACCTTGTGGGAAATAATTCGGAATCGAACGAGTCGTACACATCGGCAGTGCCGTGTTTAGATGGTTCGGATTGTTTGTTGGATAGCCTATGTTCGCATTTCGATGCACAAGAGAATATTGTTGAAGATGAACATTCCTATGCGTCCACACGAAGTAAGTTTTTGTGAGGGCTAGTGGATTAGTTTTTATTACGAGATCTTTTTTAACTTGTTACTTTTTGATTATTTTTGTGCAAGCTTGTCACTGCTGACACCTGAATTATGAAGTGAATTTTTGAAGTTTGAGAGTCAGTGAGTCTCAGCTTACTATCTGTTTCTAGCGCAATCAGTCGTGTCCTCGATACATGAGAAAAGCAATTCCGTGATTTCATTTCTCCAGAACACGGAGGAGCAGTTTGACGCACTTCAAGTACTTTTACATTTACTTCACTTGTCTGGATTTCAATTCTATTGTCCTACTTCTTTAACATCCTAGAATCGCATGAAAGTTTGCAAGAATACTTCTTTTGTTTCATTCTGATATTTAAGGAAGCAAGCAGAGAAATCCTTGAAGATTGGAATTATGAACAAAGCTTTTTATCACTACCACAAAGGGAGATTAAAACAGGTGTGTTTCTTATAATTCAGCCATCAGTTAGATATTCTGATAATTGACAGTTCTCATATATCTCTTTAGAGCATACTTTAAAAGCAGTTTCTTCCATTCCTTCAATCGTTTCTACGCATAAAGCGAATCGGTTCAGTATAGCTGAGATTAACAAGAGGACAAGACCGTCAATTACTCGGATTGGTTTGGGAGGTACTTTTTTGTTGCATTCTCTTATCTCTTAGCAGTACCTTATTCAAATGGTTTACGTGCTTTGTTCCTATTGTTTTTGCCCTGACCTACTATGTTTATTGTTTGGTGTTTTCAAATATCGAAATTCAGATTTAAAACAGGAGGTAGCATTAGTGATAATCCATTTTTCAAAGTATAATTTTAATGTGTTCCTTTAAAATCTTTAGATAAACGAAAATATCCTCCGCTTATATTGACTGACGAGGAAAAAAAATTGTGTAGGAAGGAAGGGATTCGTTTACCAGAATATTACCCTTTGACAAAAGCAGAGGAAAGAGAACTAAAGCGTATACGCCGAAAAATCAGAAATAAACACTCAGCTCAGACGAGTCGCAAGAAAAAACAAGTAATTCATTACCAGACTCTATTTCCTTGCTTCACACTTTCTTATGTCTTAACTAAATTGCGAAGCATTCAGGACTACATCGAAGCACTAGAAGACCGTGTGGAGAATTGCATTCACGAGAACGAGGAACTGAAGAAACAAGTACCTTTTCTAGTTCTACTTTTTTTTCTTTTTCACTTATAGTCTTTTTTAAAGTTATCCTCAACTAAGAAAATGAGTTTTTTATAGTTTCACTGAAAAGATTTCACATTATAGAGGTGCACAAAGGTGATCCCTTAGTTCTTTTTCTCCATTTACCTTTTTAGTACGCCATATAAATGTTTTATTCATTAGGATAACAATCGGTTGTAGGTGGAACATTTGAAAACATTGAATTCAACATATTTATCGCAACTGCGTAAATTGCAAAGTATGGTTGCCAATGGATCGAAACGAAAGGTGCATGCTGGTACTTGCCTTGCTGTGTTGATGCTTTCAGTGTGTTTACTCGTTGCACCGAACCTGTCACCTTTGTCGAGAAAGCGTAATGAAGAAGAAGCGGAACAGATTACAGTGCCATCAGTTCAACTACCAAAACGAACTCCACCTCTTGCAGGTCAGTTCTTTATCTCTATTCGTTCAAGATCATACGGATTATTATACGAACGGGAATTTTTTTACTTATTTATTGAAGTGACTAATGAAAAAGTTTGGAAGAAGTGAAGTCATTTTATATTGATTCGTTATTAATTATCGTAGGTAGGTTAGAGATGATGGATAGATTAGAAGTGACTGTTTCCAGTAGGAAGATTATTTCGAAGCATAACAACATGATTGAGGATGTTATTTCATCCAAAACTATTCAGTCAGTAAGCACGTCTCTAGAAATCAGTTTTCATTGCTGAATCTCTTAATCAGAATTTTTAAGAAAGATAATAAAAAATATTTTAAGGACGTTCGAGATCGCTTCTGCAGTTCGTGAACTCTGTTACTGACAAATTTGATGTTGATTTTTGCGGTGAGGAAGGATATGAAGACGCTTCTGTTGTCAAGTTTGTGCTCTTTTTCCTTTTTTCAGAATAGAGGACTGAAAGAATTGTTGCATATATATTATACTAAGTCTAACAGTGTCATTTAGTTTGGAAGATCAAGCGGTTGCATTCAAGAATGATTCACTAAGGCGCAGAGAAAAGCGCGTTACATTTTGGAATGATAGTGTAACAGTGCAAGCGCAGCCACATCTTGTTGAGATGAGAAGCAGTGCTCTTCCAAATTATGAATGCGTCAAAATCGAAGGCTACGAACGAAAGCGGAAAGTTTTATCTCAAGAAAGATTGTATCCAATTTCATCAGACAATAATAAACCATGGATACGAACAATGAATAGTTTGGAATATAAGCATGCAAAATTATCTAATGGCTCAACGTTTCGTGTCTATACAAATCCTGGCAGTTATGTTTCAATGGATCCAAAACGTTTCAAAATACAGCGAGCATGAATGATTAAGTTATAAGTGTTAATAATTAGACTTTAAATTTTGCTAATGGTTTTGAAGAAAATGAATTTTGAAAGGCGAGAGCCTTGATCTAGTGTAATATTGGATCAAATATCTTCGATTAGTGTGGATAAAACAAGATTTTTCATAACTACGCATCGTTGAGAGTATTCAAGTAAATGAAGTGAAAAAAAAAAATTTTTTTTTGAATGTCGGCGTCTTTGTCGGTACAGTACTTGCAAATTATACTAATTTTTAAATGAATTGCGCATGGATTTAGTGAAAATACATTGGCTAGCTTAGCTCTTATCAAAACATATGTTGAGATTTATTTCACACTAAACTTCTGTACGGTTATTTTTTCTATTGATTTTAGCATGCGAACGTTTTCGGTTAAAATTTCACCGTCGTTCTTATCAGTTATAACAACTGTTCTAGTTTGTTTTAGAATTTTCACTTTGTTTTTTGTTTTTTTGAAATGGAATTTTATTTGGTCATCTCCTTATCTGTTGATCATTATGTGATATCTTTTTTTCTGTCGATATCTATTTTTTGTGTTTTACTTGGGTGGTATTTTGGTGATTTTTCGAATAAAATATTTTGTAAACCTCATCTCAAAATAAAATTGTAATTCACGGTTTGCGTCATTTATTCTGCAAATATCTAAATTGAAAGCAGGATAAGTCCAAACTCTTTATTACCAATTAATAGTTGAATTAGTAATTTGTGTGCATAAATATTTAAATCGGTGAATATATAATATTTAAATTCAAGACTATGTTTACGAGGGTTTACATATAATATATTTAAATCCGAGAGTGCATTTTCTTCTAGTCTCTTCCTTCTATCTCTTTATCATAATATGAAATAGGGAAATTATTTACTCTATCCTGCCAAACGTTTACGGCGCAGAAGCCGTTTCAACAGAAAATTTCATCTTTGTTTTTCAGAAAAGTGCAGATTGATAATTTTTCTTGGGTAACATTCAGTTTACTTTTTAATCAAATTGTAGGAATGAATATTATATAAAGCCAGAAGTGAAAATTCAATGAATTGGAGAAGTCTGTTCCACTTCTAAACGTAAGATATGAGACGTAAACGTGAGGTGCGAAAGCTAAAAGAGCATTTACCACCAAGTGCGCTTAAAGTCGACGTTTTATATGCTGTTTGTAGAAGTTAGGCAAACAAGAAAGAGATGTACACACATGTACTTTACATTAAGTGAACAGGAAAGTACAGTTATGCAGCTTTTCCAAATGTCTCGAGAAGCGTTTCGGGATCTTTATTGAAAGCTCTCATGTAGTTTCTGTGGATTAAAACTTACATTGCTTCCCAGATAACATAATACTGAACCTGAAGAGAGGCCAGAAAGGCGTCGGCAATTTCTCCAGGAAGCCGGAAATTGCTCACTGGATAGTGTTCTCTAGACAAGATTCAAATTATAACAGTTCGTCTCCGAAATTTCAGATTGTCAAGATTTGTGTTGGGGATCCCTTCATCATGTGATTAATACAACGGTACCTTTTGTATATTTTAGATGTCCATCTTTTGTTGTCTACTTTTCCGAAAGCTTCAATAAACGATATGACTATTTCCATGCACGGGAAAATACTCTATGACTGGGGTACTTAAAGGAATCAGTTGCGAAGAGTGCTGAGGCCTCGCAGCACACAACTAAATTCGTTATGTGGAAGCTTGCGACGATGTTACGGTGCTTCACCCGCACAAGATTTTCATGAAAATAATTGCAGGCAAATCTTTTTCATGTAAAAACTCGAGTTATGAATTTCTTTAATGTTAAAATTTGAATTATATATTTAAAAGTCTAATTCTTTCTACAATAATTGTGGCTGAAATTTAATCTGCATATGCTTATGAATATGAGCGGAGTTAAGAGTATCGAGTACAGCCATTAAATATATTAGCCTATTAAAAACGGGAATCGCTTACTCATACTGAAAAAGGCATATACGTTTGCAAATCACACACTGATGACAATTCGCATATTTTTGTATCCTAAGCTGGGTTAGGAATATAAACCAATAATCAATATTTAAAAAAATTGTAACAAACGCAGGATTTCTTATTGTTACTATTTGAATAATTGAACTTATATTAATCATAAATTGGAAATTTAGGTTATAAAACTTCCTGGTCATAATTTTTGGGATGAAAGCAGCTTCGACTCCGTTTGTAATCATTCAAAAATATGGTTTCACCTCTCATTACTTTCCTCGTAAGTCCTTAGAAACCTCCTAATTTTCAATTTCTTTTTAAAATACAAAAATTTGAAAAAACAAAGACATATGCAACTGGATTAGTGTCACATCTTGAATACATAATAAAAATGATAGTAGTCACATCTTGAATACATAATAAAAATAATAGTATCATTCTATCAATATAGAACTGCAATTTTGACGATAGGTAGGAATGACTTCCATTACCACCGACTCACTTTTATGATGAATGTCACTGTTGTAATAATAATTTAACAATAATTTAATAATAATAATAATAATAATTAATAATAATAATAATAATAAT